TGCGAAATAACAGAAATATGGTCACCTTGTGCAGCTATCTACACACCTAGTTTTCTGTTTGATTGATTGATTTCTATTTAATTGATTGCAGCGGGGTGATATACATAATATAATCCCTTGATATTATAGCGTTCTTCTGTGACTAAAACAATTCAATTGCAATCAAAGCAAATAAATGTGGATTATTTCTTAAAGAATTTTGCAGGAATACGGAAAATTGCCCACTGCAAACTTAGTATTATTATTCAGGAGTTTTAAGTACATTTTAATTCAAATTATTTGAATTGATGAAGATAAATGACCATTGATGACATCAACCAGCCAGTTCTAAAAAACGAAAATGAGGTGAATACTCAAAGTGCTTATAAATGAAGTACTATGCATTGCAGGTCATTTGCATACAGTAGTAAGAAGCTGAAAACATTCAAAGCAAGAGCCTTGGGAAACCTTCCTATGTTTATACAGGGTGTTAAAAGGATTGTCGCTTTTAATACTCTGTTGATCGAGGTTTGGTAGGAATCATTTATAATATAAACAAATGCATATTCTAATTGATCAACCCAATATCACATATAAATGGGGGTCATTAACTCTTTCTCTGTATCAGCTTATCTCAAATGTATTTTAGAGCAATGCTAACCGGATTGCGTTGTTTTTCCCATATATATCTTTCATTTGAATCATTTTAGGTCTTGTGTGTAAATTTAGGATTTTGGTGATTTAGAAAATCAAATTTTCAAGACTTCAATTTTTTCAACTTTCCACAAATGTTGTTTTGGAGTTTTTTTTTCATGGACCGAAATCATCATTGGTGTTAGGTAAAAAGCTATTACTTTTTAATTTTTTTCCTTTTACTACCTTAGAATGCCCGAAATAAAAGAACTTATAAAAACGCACAAAAAACTTGACTTGTTCCACCTTTCTGAAAAAACCAGAAAAGTGAATTATCCGTTATCTTTGAGAACTCGAGAAACTGATGATGAAACTATATACTCAAGACGTAACTTTTTTGTATAACGCATTAGTATGGGGAGAGGTTTGAAGTTACGTAGGTGTTCCGTACCTACTTGTAACGTAACAGAAAATTGTCTTGTATTTTACTTTATAATCAAGTACATTTCATTAGTTATTGC